CCTTCCTTCCATCCCTCTTTCTTTCTCCTTTCTTTCTTTCTCTTCTTCCCTTCCTTCATCTTTCTTTCTCTTCTTTTCTTTCTTTTTCTTCCTCCTTTCCTCCCTTCCTCCTCCTTCCCTCCCTTCCTCCTTCTTCCCTCCCTCTCTCTGTCTTTCTTTCTTCCTTCCCTTCTTCCCTTCTCTTATTTTTCTTTCTGCCTTCCTTCCATCCTCCCCTCTTTCTTTCTCCTTCCTTTCTTCCTTTCCTTCCTCTTTCTTTCCCTCCCTCCTTCCTTCCTCTTCCTTCCTTCCTTCCACCCTCCCTCCCTTCCTCCATTCTTCCCTTTCCTTCCTCCTTTTCTTTTTTTCTTTCTTTCTTTCTTTCTTTCTTTCTTTCTTTCTTTCTTTCTTTCTTTCTTTCTTTCTTTCTGCCTTCCTTCCATCCTTCCCTCTTTCTTTCTCCTTCCTTTCTTCCTTTCCTTCCTCTTTCTTTCCCTCCCTCCCTCCTTCCTTCCTTCCTCTTCCTTCCTTCCTTCCTCCCTTCCTCCTTTCTTCCCTTTCCTTCCTCCTTTTCTTTCTTTCTTTCTTTCTTTCTTTCTTTCTTTCTTTCTTTCTTTCTTTCTTTCTTTCTTTCTTTCTTTCTTTCTTTCTTTCTTTCATCCATCTTGCAGATGCTCCAATGAAACCAAACTCAAAACTGAAGACCTCTTTTGGGCTTACAACTTCTGTCCAACGCCCTATTCATGGACCGCGCTGCTGGGACTCCTATTGTACCTGGTTTTCTTTGCTCCAGGTAAGCCAATTTGACGGACTTGACTTTCCTTAACCAAAAGAAATTGGCTGTTTATCAGCTGGGAAAACTCAGTAACCCTGGTGAAAAATCTTAAGATGTCTGTGATTTTTTAAAAAACTTTTCTGGGAAAATAAAATTGGAAGCACTGGTTGCCCTGCCTTTAATTTGAATACACTGTCTCCTTGTCCATCTAGAATTGTTATTTTATAGGGTAAGGAAGGAGATTCTGCTTTCAAGCCATGAGTGTAATCAATTCCAGGGTGGATAAAAACCAATGAATGAATAAAGAAAAAAAGTCATATATACTTTACTGTAGACTAAGAATCTTCCTTTCAACCCAACAGTAGACACAACAGCAGGGTTGGGGGGTGGAGGGGAGCTGCATTCATTTAATGACCATATGATTTGCTTAACAACTGTATTTGGGACTCAACTCTGGTCGCAAGTCGAGAACCACCGATATTAGGGTGAACATTCGTCACATCGTGCATTTATACAGAAGGCAAATATTAATTCGGAGCACCTTCTACCTATGATAATCATTTCTATCTTTCCATCTTGGTAGTGTCAACTAATAAAACATTTTCTATACACATTTTATAGTTGCCAACAGAAAGAAAGGGGGGAGTTTCAAAGAGCAGGCAACAGTGTGGAATCGAAAGCACATTACATTCATATTTTCTTCAAAGACTGATTAGATGACTGAAGCTTCTGCTGTGTAAAAAACTAACTGGAGAGCATGATTGATGACTCTTGGCTATGGACGTGTTTCGTTGGATGATACACCCAGAGGGGTGGGGGGAAAAGCAGGATAAAGGGTGACAGTGAATTACGTATCTCAGAGTTGGTTATGCGCAGGTTAGTGCTGGATGTAGAATGTTTACTTCAAATAAACCCTCTTTAGTTTTGGGAGTGTGGCTCGAGGCTCATGATTTAATTGGAGTAACTGCCAGAATCCTGACAGGTAGATCATTTAAAAATACTCTGTTAAAAGTTAAATGACTTTAAGTCAGATTCCACGTGGTATTCTTTTTCTCAATTACATTATAAATCATCTATTTATGCATGTGTGATATGTAGTAGTTAGGAGATTATTGTTATCAATGTAGAATGTGGTAATTAAAAAATGACTACACTATGGTAAATCTTCATAATGAATTAAAGGGAATATATTGAGGGAATGTATAAGGTAAATGGGTGGCAAGCTCGAATCGACAATTAAAGGGGACAACTTTTGAATTATCAGAATTAGGATGAAATCTAATGAACAATGAATGGAATAACTATGCAACAAAATTGCAAATGTGACAGATAAAAGTAAATATGAGTAATGAATATAGAAATGAAATAAGAATCTTAGATAACATTGTAAAACGACATGAGAATATTTTAAGAAAAATGAAATAAGATACGAACTGGAATTCAATAAAAAAGTGTAATGAATATAATATTTGAGAATATTTAAAGGAAAATAGAATAAGAAATAATGTGATATGAAATTGAATATGAAAGATAAATATGTAACTAGGGTCATGTTTGTATTGAAATGTAAAAACCTGGAACCACACTGCTCGCCAAAAGAGATGTTTTTTAAAATATAAAAATAAAAAATGTATTAAAAAATTTAAATGACTGAAGCGGTTCTTTTTCAATTCCATATTGAAAGGAATGGGGCCGATGCCCTGGACCATCAATTCTGAAATTTATCCCCTTTGGGCGAGAAGTACAGGAAATGCATGTTCCTCCGGTGTCAACTGGATTTTCAACGTCTTGGTGTCATTGACCTTCTTGCACACAGCTGAATATCTGACCTATTATGGTAATATATTTTTTTAATTTTTTCCTCTTAAAACAAGACCCAGAACAATTTTGATTTTGGATTCGTTGGGGTTTTCTTTTCTCATTTTCAGCTATTTGGTTAGGCAACCAAAGTTGCTTTATTGTTTCAAAATGTTTCTAACACGTTTTAAAACGTTGTTCTGACCCAAACCCTTGTCCAATAAAACAAACACGAACCAAAGGGAACAGAAACCTTTTAATGATTCTTACGAATCCCCGGTTAAAAGGATGCGGCAAACTAATTAACTTTGATAAGCACAATCCTCACCAAAACTGTGCTAATCTGCCAAGAATCACAGATTAGAAATATTTCACAACACAAGAGTCTTCAAATACCAACTTAAGATACTGGAATGTCCATGAGGCTGAGTTTCAAAACCTCTTTGCTTCCTGCAAAGAACGTCTGATTCACAGCTGGCTTTTATCTTCTTGAAGGAGGGGCCATTACCTTGCAGCCTTACTCCCGAGTCACCCATGCTGTTGTAGCTGCTCTCTGCGCTCACACACACTTGGCACATGCTCCTCGGGAACCTCCTCATCGCTGCTGTCAGCCCCCACAATCTCTGAAGACTCTGAAACTCAGCCTCATGGACATTCCAGTATCTTAAGTTGGTATTCACTTCCTAATGGTCCTGGCCCCTCATTGTGAGTCCTCGCTCTCCTCAGCCCTCTGCACCTGCTGCCGGCTAACCACAATTGTTAATATTTTTTGCTATAATATATAGGTAGTGCTCAACTTAGAACCCGTTAATTTAGTGATGGTTCAGAGTTACAACAGCACTGAAATAAGTGATTTGTGATTTTTTTTTCACACTTAATGACTGTTGCAGCATCCCCATGGTTACATGATCAAAATTCAGACACTTGGCAACTGGTTCCTATTTATGACGGTTGCAACGTCTTCGGAGTGACGTGATCCCCTATTACAACCTTCTGACGAGGAAAGTCGGTGGGGAAGCGATATTCACTTAACAACCAGGTTACTAACTTATCAGCTGCAATGATTCACTTAACAAATGTGGCAAGAAAGGTTGTAAAATGGGGCAAAACTCAATGTCTGTTTCATGTAGCATCTGAAATTTTGCATCCAGTTGTCGCTATGAGCTGAAGATTACTTATATTCATCCATCCATTCATTTCATTTCTACACCCGCTCATCTCAGTCAATGATTCTGGGAAAAAGAAAAAGAAAGAGAGAGAGAAACAGAAAGAGAGAAAGGAAGAAAAAGAGAGAAAAGGAGGAGGGAGGGAGGGAGGGAAGGAGGGAAGAAAGAAGGGAAGGGAAGGGAAGGAGGGAAGGAAGGAAGGAATATATATATATTCTACATCCACCCATCTCAGTCAATGATTCTGGATGGCAGATGATAGATAGATAGATGGATGGATGGATAGATAGATAGATAGATAGATAGATAGATAGATGCCATCTAGAATCATTGAGATGTGTGGGTGTAAATACGCACATACACACACAATTGTAATCCGCTTAGAATCATTGACAGAGATGTGTAGGTATAGAACACACACACATACACACACACACACACTTATAAGTTGCTTAGAATCATTGACTGAGATGGGTGGATATAGAAATTGATTGAATAAATGAATGAATATTAGGCTTGTAGGGGTGTCCTTGACTTTATGTAATGCTTTGAACGAAACCACCTGTGTAATATTTTTGAAATATGGATCTTAAGAGAAGTCTTAGAACAGTGTTTCTCAACCTTTTCTTCACCGTGGACCCCTTCTAAATACCTTTTTGTGGCCAAGCACCCTGGCCACAGACCCCCCAAGACTTAAGATTTAATCATCACATTTCTTCAAGTCTTCACGGACTCCCCCCTTCCAGGGGATCCACGGACCACAGGTTGAGAACCACTGTCTGAAAAACTTTTCTTTAAAAACCCTACATATTAACTCTGTGTGGATTGACTTGTTTGTTTGCTTTTTTGTTTGTTTATTAACTCCAGGAGCCTTCTTTCTTTATGCTGGATTTGCTTTCGTGGGACTCATTTTTCTCTACAGCTGCCTTCCAGAGACCAAAGGCAAAAAACTGGAGGAAATTGAGTGCTTGTTTGAGACTTCGCTATGTACATGCGGCATTCCCAAATCGGAGGACGGGAGGTATATTGAGTACATCCGGGTGAAGGGAAGTAATTACCACCTTTCCGACAACGACGCCTCTGACGTGGAATAAATTTCGGCTGCCCATCGGTTAGATCTTTCGAAAGCCTTGGTTGAGGATGCTGAAGGAGCTGCTCTGAATGAGACCTCACTGGCCTGCTTCTGGTCTGCTTCTCCTTCCTACTGCCTCTGTGGAAATGGTTCCCTCTTTTTAAACCATGTCCTTGCGGGGGGGGGGGGTTAGAAATAAAATCCCACATCCTCTTACCCACTAGGTGATCGCCGAGAAGAATTGGCAAGAAGGAAAGAGCTTGCAGAGTGGAAGTGACTCTCTGAGGTCTTTAAGGGTTCCTGTTCTGGACGCTTGCTGAGCTCCTTGAAACTTCAGGATGAGAGTCGAGGGACGAGGTGGCGTCTTAGTTGACCAGCTCGAAAAATTAAAATGGTCAAAAAGAACAACGAAGTCAGAAACCAGGCGATTCATAAAAGCAGTTAACCTGAAAACCCGAGACTTGGGAACAAACGTAACCCCACCACTTAGGAGTAAAAGAGAAAGAGGGAAAGAATCAGGAGCTTTTTGGGTGGAAATTGTAAACTGATTGTAACGTTAATACTCCTCGTAAAAAGACAACTGACGTTGTGTGCAGAGAGAAAGCAGCTTGCTTTCCGTGGAGGCGCTTATCTTTAGAAATCATTCTTTCCCACCGACATTGCTTTGCACAAGGAACAGTCGGTTACTGCCAGTTCGGACTGGTTCTAGCGAACCAGTAGTTCCGACCATCAGCTGGCCCTGCCCTATCCTGTCCTATATTTCCATCTTTCTCAGCTCAGCTGATTTGCGCGGCACAACAGATTCCCGCGCCTCAGCTGTTCTACTTACCGGGGCTGACCTAGAAGGTAAGCGAAGTGTGCGCTCACAGAACCGGTTGTTCAACCAGTTGCAGCCCACTACTGACAAGGAAAGCTGAGATCTTAGGATATTACCAGGCCCTTGGAGAAGATTTTGCTTCCTCTCGGGTGCCTTCCTAGTCTTGCCAGAAATTCTTCTTTTAAAAGTCCTGCAAATCTCAAAAGCCAATGTGAGAACCTCATCAGAATTACTTCCAAGCAAGCAATTTGGCTTTGAATTAACCAAATTGACTCAGTTTAGAGCGAAAGCATAGCGAGGGAACGGAGAAGGATGAACTGGAGTGCGATGGCTTTCATTGTTCTTAAGAAAGTTGAGATAGACTTTCTTGCATGGAGGCCCCCAAGATAATTTTGTTGTCAGATTCTTGCAGTTCAACTTTGCTGTCCATCCGAGTTTTCGGATTTTACGTGCGGTGATTTATTTTTTGCAGAACAAAAGGCATTTGTTCAACAGAATGCAGAATAACAGAGTTGGAAACCTTGCAACTCTTGTTATTCCGTTTCAACATTTGGACTTTTTTTTTTTTTTTTGAGCCTTCTGGAAATTCAGTCAAGGAGTTATTGGCTGAACTTTATTTTTTATCTTGCATTTTATTGTATCGAACACAAAACTATGGAAAATGAAAGGGCAGAGACATGCCTACCTATGATTCATAGTTCTTCTTGGATCAAAGCTAACTTCGATATTTCAGAATGCTTTTCCGTTCCAGTTCAAATATAGAGAGAGTGTTGCCTTAAAGTAATTAACCTCCCCATCTTTTATAAAGATCAGCTGCTGCTACGAACAGGAAGGATGAAAGCCCAAGCTCCGCCCCTTTGGCCTGGAGAAAAGAGCAGGGCTTGCATCCCAGTGCTTATCCCACTTGCCAGCTACTGTTATGGCCTGTCGGCTCCCAGCCCCTCCAGCAGCCAAATCAGAGGAGGAGTCGGTGTGGGAGTCAGGGTCAATATCAAGGCAACCAGAGAACTCCGAGGGGGAAGAGGGAATAGAGCTGGCAGAGAGAGAAAGAGAGACAGAGGCGGAGCTTGGGCAATCCATCAGCCCTCGGAGAGTCAATATCCCCTAGGTCTGGAGGTGGCTGATGAGGAAGAGAAGGAACAGCTGGGTCCAGAAGGCAGAGGAGAGGAGAGCAGTGGAAATCTATGGGCCGGTCCTTGGGACGGAAGAGCCACCACTGCTAGCAAAGCCCCACCCCTAGCTCTGGGGATAAAAGGCAGGGGGCGGAGATGAATAGATGTGGCAGACAACTATTCATTTCCCTGCCGGACAGACTTGTTACCCTGTGGTGAGAGAGAAACTTTTTGCCAGGGCTCCTTATAAAGGAATCTTTTCAGTTCACGTCAGAGGGTTAGTCATGTTTGGGGAGCTGGTTGAGAACAGCCACCTTCCTCCTACCTAAAGGACACCAGGTTTGCTTTTAGGATGAAACTGGTTTCTGCTTTCATGCCAGTCGCATTCTGACCTTTCGCGGCATCAACACGGAATTCGCCAACCCGGTGTTACAACTAAGTTAAGTCCAGTTACAAAAATGCTGCCCTTAAATATATGCCTTTTACTGGTTTCCCTGCCTAAAGCCTTAAACTGGGGGGGGGGGAGGAGAGAGTAGGACATCCGGCACGTGGGAAAACGGATCCATGGAAATCAGCCCCTTTGAAAGATTTCGGTGCAAAGCCAAATGCGATAATTCCATGTTCTTCTCTTCTGCTTCTTTTGGGACGTCGATAGTTCTTTTCTGCATGGCTTCCCCGGTTATTGAAATCGTGAAATATTGTCAGAAAGCCGCATGCTGCGCTTTGCAAATTACGTTCCTGTTTATGTTGACTTTCTTGTTTTTCTAGACTCTGTTGAAGCTTCTGTGCGTCGAAAAGTATTAATGATTGTTTTAATTTTTCTGGCCTTCGTTTCAAGTCATGCATCCTTTGAAAGCTTATTGTCTCCTTATGAATTTTTTTTTTTAAAGTCTGATGCCTCCCTTATCCTCCCCCTGTTAGAAGTTGAAAACAAGTATATTTCAACTCACTAACAAAGAGCACAAGGTCCATTGCCCCCTTATTCTAACCAGGATCCCTGGGGGAACATCTTCCTTTCAATATTGCTTTATCGTTTAACCCTGCCTTAGTCCTTTATGCTAAGAATTATCCTTCGTAACCAGAGTTATTTATAAATGAATACTTAAATAAATGAAATGAATACTTGAAATAAGCCCTATACAAATTGGGTGTTTTATTTTTGGAATCTATGTTTATACACGAATGAATAAAGGTGGAATACTTCTATTTAGCAAGGATTTTCTTTATATTTTGCATGCAGTACTTTTAAGTTGAAGAAAGCTACACGTTACAGATCTCAGATTCTAAATAGAGTAGACTTAAAAGAGTATATTGAATTAATTTTGTAGACCAAAAATGTTTATTTTTAATAACGTTACGAACAAGCTGAAGCACAACAATTCTAATGTTTAATTATTTTTAGAAGTCTGTTGGATTTAGAAGTCCGTTTTTAAAAGACACAATAGCATTAAGTGATGTGCTAGTAGAGAACATCTAAATATTTCTGCTGCTGCTTCTATTTATCATTTGTCTCGATCTATCAAATACAATCTACTAATGGGAAGATCTGCTTGATGAATAAAATTCTTAAATCGCCCGCAGGCATCATATTCACCTTTATCTATACAGGACCAGATATTGTTATATCCAGAATGTAACAGAGGTTAAATGAACTCCAAATTAGATAGTTGAATTCTATACTCTTCCATTTAATTTATCAAAATCCTTCAATTTGTTTCAACGTTCCAACAGCTTTTTTGAATGGCCCTGTGCATTATTTTCTTGGCTATTTGCCTCAGTCTGTAAAATGTGATTATCTGCAAAAGCTTGTTTTGGAAGGATTTATCACAAATAGGTAGGCTCAGCTATTTTGAGCGGCAGATTTTTAACCCGCTACATTGGAGTGGTGTGGTAGCCTAGCGATGGAGTTCTCGCCTCACAATCAGGAAGGCTGTGAGTTTGATCGTGGGTAGAGGCAGATATTTCTCTCTCTGAGCACAATGAGATTATATCTGCTGAACAAAACTCCGCATTGCCGACAGGAAGGGCGTCTGGCCAGTAAAACACTCTGCTAGCTCCATTCAGTTGCCCAGACTCCACCCTGCAAGGGATTACGGGGTCATTAAACGAAAAACGACAACAACCACATTTTTAAGATTGGAAAGATTCAAACACAAATCTTTTGCAAAAAGAAAATCCCACCCAATATTTGCAAAAATCCACACCGTTTTTGCAAAGAACGCCAAAGCAATTCCTGCCCTCTCTTCAAGCATGCATTTGATCTGATTTCTTTTTTTTAAAAAAAAATCTTTTTTATTGCACTTTTTTCATTTCATTTGATTTTTTATTGGCCCAGGTTATTTATTCTTGTCCCTTTTGAAAGTGTGCTTTTGGTGGAGACACTGAAGTTCAGGTAGACTTATTTCAATCTTCCGAACCCAATCGTAGAACATTTGTGAATTTATTTTAGGGAGTTGAACTGGGATTTGTCGTTTTAACTTGTGGCTCCGGAACAGCAAGAACTACAGTTCCCAGGATTCCTAGAGACAGCAAGAGCTGTCCAGCATATTCAGATGCCTCCAATCTACAGACCACAGTTACTCAACCTCAAAAATTTTAACATGTGTGGACTTCATCTCCCAGAATTCATCTCCACTGTGCTGGCTGGTGAATCCATGCATCATAAAATTGCCAAGCTTGAAAAACACTGGTCCAGACAGTAATAACAGAGGGAAAATTTAAGAGAGACATTATCTGTCATTCCTAAGCTTTTGATTTTCTGTCTTTTACCCTTTCCTTCCAAAAGTAAATTGAACTTCTAAGAAATTGCTGATAGACTGAATTTAATTATGGGCAGCAGAGAGTTAATGGTCAAATGCCAACCACAGCATCTTTGGATGTAAACTTGAAGATGCCATTCGATAACTTTTTCTACAGCATCTGTGACAGTGGTGGCTAACCTTTTTGGGCTCCTGTGCCAAAAATTTTGTGCGTGCTTGCGCACGCTCGCGTGCCAGCCCCCAGAAGGCAATGCACGCACATACCATGTCCCCTGCCCATATGCGCGCAAACCCTCCTTACCTGCACTGCACCTCCTAGCTGATTTTCGGCCTCCCAGAGACTTGAAGAAGGCTGCTGCAAGCTTTGCAGGCCAAAAAATGGGTCCGTTTTGTCACTTCCGGTATTTCCAGAAATACAGGAAGTGACGTAACAGGGCTATTTTTCGGCCTGCAAGAGCTTTCCTCAAGCCTCTGGGAGGCCGAAAAAGGCCTCAAACAGGCCAAAAATCAGCTGTGAGGCGCACGCATGCACAGTGAGGCTCGCATGCCGGCACAAATGGTTCTGCGTGCCACAGAGTCGCCATCACGGGTCTGTGACTTTCAGCCGAACTGCTAAAAGTGCCGATTTGCTTGTATCCCTGATCATCCTTCTATTTGACCCCTTGTTTGGAAAATGTAAAGCAGTTTTTCCCCCCCAGTGTGGTGTTAATCACATGGGCTGACCAGCAAATTCCAGGGTCTGCCTATAACTGGAAGACCCCAAGTTATGTAGAGGAAATCAAGAGAGATAATAAAATCAGTGTTTAAGAAGTCGGAAAGAATGTGTTATAAAGTTTTATTTTGATATGAAGATTACAGATCTGAGAAGCACTTTAACCATCACTTTGATCTGTGCATTTTTTTTTCTTTTGTCTTTTCTCTGGATGCATCTCTGGCCAGGAATAGGTAGGCACAATATCAGTAGTGGGATTCAGCCAGTTTGCCCAGTTCGGGAGAACCAGTTAACTTTCTGAGCAGTTTGGTGAACTGGTTGTTGGAATAAATCATTAGGGCAGAGAACCGGTTGTTAAATTACTTGAATCCCACCACTGCACAATATGTGCTTTTTCCAACAGCAATTGGACTTTGTTTTTCCTTGAAGAGGTTTCACTTCTCATCCAAGAAGCTTCTTCGGTTCTGACTCACTTCTGATCCTGACTTCAATCAGAACCTAAAGAAGCTTCTTGGGATGAGAAGCGAAACGACTTCAAGAAAAAACAAAGTCCAGTTGCCTTTTGAAGGGAGAAAAAAAAAACACTTTTGGGACCACCATAACATGGATGATTGAGAATCTCCGTCGACATATGTGCTTTATCAGGGTTTTTTTTTTTTTAAGTGTGATATTGCGGGTAACTTTACAGCTTAAATGTAGCTATAGATTATAAGAAGATTCTGAAGGGTCTTCGGATTTAAATCAGTCACATTTTGCCATTTGAAAAATTGTGATTTCCTAACACTTTTCATCGCCTTGTGTACAGTTTTCATGTGGCTTGGTCTACAGGAATGGCTTGAATCGCAACAAATGTCAAAAATGGACAAACTGTACATTGGTGTAGATTTAACATAGGAATCTATTAGGCAGTTATTTGTTTTGGTTATTTTCACATCAACAAATGATTTCTCTTTTAATGTGCCAATAATCCTCACTGTGGTGTTTTTTTGTAACCAAGTGCTATTGTTCGAAAGTACTGTATATGAAACTATTTTAGCCACCAGATTTGTTAATATATATTTCCTAAACCTTAACTTCTATCAAGGAGGTAAAAATCTGTGTAAGAAACTAGTTTACATCAAAACTTTTTTTTTGTATGTGCTAAATATCTAACTTATCAAGAACTCGGCATGTGTGCTGAGCATACTTTCTTCTTTTTGATTCCTTCCCTCCCCCCCCCCCAAAAAAAAATAAAAAAAATAAAAAAATGAGCATAGAGACATTTTCTTGTGTGGTTAATTTTGTGTAACATACCAGGGAAATATTAGAAGGCTGCATATGACTGTTCAGGATTGAGTACAGTGCTTTAAAAAATTCATTTTATGTAGAAGAATAGATACCAAGTCATTACAGAGGTTTATTTATGGCCACGGACCATCACTACTTTAGATTTTTAAATCATTTCTTCAAGTCTTCACGGACACACACACCCCCGTGACGACCATGTGCCCCAACACCGGGGCCCACGGACCACAGGTCAAAAACTACTGACTTAAAAGTACATTTCCCAACATAAATTCATTCTGAAATTAGTGTGCCCAG